AATTTCTTTTAACATTTCTTGCAAGGCAGTTCTGCTGGCAATAAATAGCCTTATTTTTTGTTTATCTAACAAAGTATTTCTCCATATTTTTTTTCATTGCAGTAAAAGTCACACAACATAAATTTCACCATTTTAACCATCTTAAAGTGTACAACTCAGTGGCTTTTTACTATATACACAATGTCTCCTTCACTTTTGAAGAATATTTTCAATGGATAGAGAAGTCTAGGCTGATGCAGTTTTTTCTTTCAATATTTAAAATCCACTTTATTCTTGTTTGCGTGATTTCTGACAAGGCTGTAATTCTTATCCTTTCCCTGTATAAGTATGCTAGGGTTTTTTCCCCCTACAGCTTCCTTCAACATTTTGTTTGTCTTTGGTTTCTACAGTTTGAATATGATAAACCTAGGGGTTCATTTTCAGGGGGTATTTACCCTGCTTCTTGTTCTCTAGGCTTCCTGGATCTGTGGTTTGATGTCTGCCATTAATTTTGGAAAATTCTTAGTCATTATTACTTGAAATGTCTCTCTTGCTCTGTTCTCCTTTTCTTCTCCTTGTGATATTCCAATTGTTCACGTTACACCTTTTGAAATTGTCACAGTTCTTGGATATTGTTTTTTGGTCTTTTTTTTCCTCTTCGCATTTCAGTTTGGGAAGTTTCTATAGACATATCTTCAAGCTCAATGATTCTTTCCTTGTCTGTATCTAGTCTACTGATGATCCCATCAAAGGCATTCTTCATCGCTGTTACAGTGTTTTTGATTTCTAGCATCTCCTTTGATTCTTTCTTAGAGTTCCATCTCTTTGCTTACATTATCCATCTGTTCTTGCATACTGTCTACTTTTTCCATTACAGCACTTAATGTATTAGTCTTTTTGTTTTTTTAAAGATTTTATTTTTCCTTTTTCTCGCAAAATCCCCCCAGTACATAGTTGTATATTTTAGTTGTGGGTCCTTCTAGTTGTGCCGTGTGGGACGCCGCCTCAGCATGGCCTGACGAGTGGTGCCATGTCTGCGCCCAGGATCAGAACCGATGAAACCCTGGGCCGCTGAAGCGGAGCACATGAACTTAACCACTCGGCCACAGGGCTGCTCCTAATGTATTAGTCTTATTTAAAATTTCCTAGTTGATAATTCCAAAATGTGTCATGTCTGTTTGGTTTGATGTTTGCTTTGTCTCTTTAATCTGTTTTTTCCTTGCCTTTTAAAGATTTTATTTTTCCTTTTTCTCCCCAAAGCCCCCTAGTACATAGTTGTATATTTTCAGTTGTGGGTCCTTCTAGTTGTGGCATGTGGGACACCACCTCAGCATGGCTTGATGAGTGGTGCCAGGTCCATGCCCAGGATCCAAACCAGTGAAACCCTGGGCCGCTGAAGCGGAGCACGCGAACTTAACCACTCGGCCCCGGGGCCGGCCCCTCCCTGCCTTTTAGGACGCCTTATAATATACAATTTATTGGGTAAAGGGACTGATGTAAACAGACCTTTAATGTGAGGTGTGATGACGGTCTGCCTAGGAGTTGGACTGACTTTAATATTTACTGTAGTTTTAGGTGCCAGTGGCTTTAAATTCCTCTAGTGTCCTTGTTTTTCTCTACTGCCTTTGAGTTTCCCCAAGAACTTCTTCTTTAATAGTCTGTGGCTTGAAGCTCTTTCAGCTGTAATCTACTATTGTTATACTGGAGCCCTGGTGATGTGGTGGTAAGGTTTAAGGAAGGGGAAGCATTTTATGACTTTATGATTAAATCTCTTAAATCTCGTTTAGTGGGTCTGTGTCCCCAGTTGTGACCTTCACAGGTGTCTCTGAGCTTTGTCCCCCCTTCCTTAGGTGTAGCAGAAAGGCTAGAGGGGGCTGGAGTTGGGTGATGGTCCTACCTCCTAAGTGAGATAAGACTCTGACAGTCTTTTCACCTTGAGAGAAGGCTTTCCTTAGGGAGACTGCTGTGCGCATGTTTTTAAATGGTTACTTTTCTGTTTCCCCCTCTAGAGACAGGAGGGGTTTTTCTTGGCTGTGCACCATACTCAGCCTCCATCAACTTGTGAAAATCACTACTTAAGCATTCCTCCCAGTCTGTGGCTCCAGCAGCTTCTGCTCCAGGTCAGCTGAGCTTGGCTGGGACTGTGTTTTCCTGCCTCACCAGCTTTTAGGGGGGCAGTTTGCCCTGAAACTTCAATTCTCTGATAAGCCCAACAGAAGTAGTTCCTTTTCAGTTTGTTGAGTTTTTCCTTTCGTAAGGATGGGAATGATGACTAACAAGCCCTTTAGATGTTGAAGCTGAAACCAGAAGTTGCTTTTCCCTTTTTTTTTTTGGTTTTTTAATGCTCTCAAGACATGAGGGCTGAGATGGCAAAAAGGCAGTGTATATCCATTTGGCCTTCTGGGAAAGAGTGTGCAGGGAAGCAGACCCTCTGTGAAGGGAAGGCCCAATGGTATACACATCGATCGTGGCTCCTACAGATCCCAGGGGCTCAGCAGACACTGCCCACCCACCCCACCTTCACTACCTCATTCTGGCTTCATTCTCTCTTCCTCCTCCAGACTGTACCCTACTGTCCACCTGGATCCTGCCCTCCAGGTTCTTTCTATAACACATATCTAACCGTATGTCTCTCCCTACTAAAAAACCTTGCACCCCCAGAATAAAGTACAAATTGCTCAGTGTAGCATTCAGATCCTCATGGTTCCCCCTAATGTTCCCTCTGCTGCCCGCCTCCCCCAACTCCTGCACAATATTGGGGTACTAGGGATACTCTGAACTACTCCCAGGTCCCTAAACATATATGCTTCCTCCAGTCTCTCTGCCTTGCACATGCTGATCCCTCCAGAAACCCTTCCCATCCTGACTGGCAAACTGACTCCACCAGTAAGACCTCGCCTCCTTGGAGGGGTGGGGGGCTTCTCCAAGCACCAGTACATTCCTCAGGCACAGTGCCATGCTCTGGGTCCCACTGATGCCCCAAGGGACCTCTCCAACAGCCAAATCCCCATCTTACTCTAGGCAGAGGAGGCATGGGGCAGACACTCTGAATCTCCCTCATGGCCCTGTTTTTGTCCCAGAGGTGGGAGGGACACCAGACCATGTTGGCCAACCCTCCCTGTCAGCCCTCTCCAGCTAAGCAGAGGAGGAGGGAAGGTCTGGAGAGGAAGGAACATCTGTGCACAGGCACCTGCTGTATAGGCCAGAGGTGAAGGAAACTGGCTCTTGAAGGTAGATTCCAGGGGCACAAATACCAAGCTCCACCACCTATCAGCTCTGTGACCTTGGGCAAGCTACTTACCTCTCTCCTTCACCATCCTCATCTCTAAAACAGAATAAGAAATAGGACCTAGCTCTGAGGTAGAGAGGCCTAGGGGAAATACTGCAACGCAAAGCATTTCTGATGCGAATGTTCAACAAGTGCTAGTCATTACAATTACAGCAACCACGTGGGCCAAGCGCTGTGCCAGGTGCTCCTATATCCTGGCTTCATTTCATCCACGCCCTGGGCAGTGAGGCAGGGATGTTAGTTCCATTCCACAGAGGAGGCAACCAAGGTGCTGAGAAAGAAGAGGAGCCGTCTGCTTCTTCCCCTTGCCAACCACCGCTCAGCCGTCTCCCACTCTCCTAGAACGGCCTCGTGGAGGCCCGGGCTGGGGAGTGAGGGGAGTTGCAGATTCAGGCTGCATCACCATGGATGCCTCGATGATGGTGGTGGTGGCAGTGGCCATGGGGAAGTGTGGGGCCGCAGGGTTGGAGAGGTGCCCCAGCCCAGGCTGAGTCGGCTGATCTTGATTTTCTTCTGCTCAGTCCACTCCCCTGGTGCAGGTGGAAAGGAAGGAACCCCCCATTTTTCAGGTCTTCCTATGTGACAGATGAGTACAGAGCCAGGAGCTTTGATGTCACATCCATTCCCACCAACTCCAAGAGGCTGGTGTTATGCCCCCATGTTACATAAGTCCAAGACGACAGAGACAGGGAGACTGGCATACAGAACGTATGCAATTCCCCTCTCCTGGGCCTCAAGTTGAGAAAGTCCCTCCCATCACCCCTGCACCGTAACCATGGTTATTTGCCCCTCAGCATAGTGAGTGAAGCTGAACTGCTGGTTGAGGTCAATCTAAGGACCCTCGGTCACACATCTGAACAGTTATGTGGAACCTGAAGCTTCACTCATCTTTGCTTAAATCTCTTGACTTACGTACAGGTTGTACAGTGCACAATCTGTGCAACTACACACAGCAGCCCTGAGATCATCCTCAGAGACAGAGTGTTTTTGGACCAGAGTTGTTGAATCCACCCTCCTGAACTCTGGGAGCTCAATCTCTTCCCTCTCCAGTATTTCAGCTGCCCTACAGTTAAGCAAACCAACCTTAACTGGTCCCAAGTCTCCTCTGACTTCTGCCCCAAATCTCTGGCAGTCAGACACCTTGAAGGAGTGATTTACCTTGCAGGGTTCCTCCGCTCCCACTCTCTCATTGGCCCCAGGCTTCCCTCCAGATGCTTCCTCCAGGTCACTCCCCGATTCCATGGCCTCCTTCAGCTCCCCTCCTTCACCTCGCCCTGGCATTTGGTGCTTACTGCTAGTCCTCCTCCTACTGTGGGAACACTCCAGGGATTCTCCTCCTTCTCCCACCTTCCTCCTCCCATCGCACAAATGTGCTCCTCCGTCCCTCAAGCCGTGACCGAGTCATTGCCGACGCGCCCTGCCTACCCTAAGTCCAGTCCTGTGGATCTGTTTCTGTGCATCTCCATGAGGCAGGATGAAGCCCTCCTCCCAGAGTCAGAGCCCACCAGAGTCTGGCAGTGGTCAGACCACCCAGAAGGGCAGCAAAGCCTGGAGGGCTGTGGGAGGTGGCAGGAACCTGTGCCTTTGGCTTCTCTCCCACCTGACTTCCCCTGGCCGTGTCATCCCTAGCCCTGCCCCAACTCCTTGCCAGCTTATAACTAAGAGAGGTGTTACCTTTTGCCACACCCCATTCCCCTAAGCCACAGGTGACAAACTGGTGGTCCACAACACATTTTGTTTGGCCTGCCATACTTTTTTAAAGTTTCAATTCATTGCTATCATTTTAAAATTAACCGATTTCACTTAAGAATCCAGAATTCTCGTTTCTTCTGAAAAATCAGAAGATCTGGCAACATTAGGCCCACACTCCTGTATGGTGACATCCAGCTGGAGCTGGCTTCAGTTGTTCCCTTTCTGTGGGGCTTGCATTCTGGTTTCTGCAGCTGTGTCCCTCCCAAACACCCTGGCCACCCACGTCAGCAGCCTGGGGTCTAACGGTACCTCTGCAGGAGGCGGTCCAGGGGAAGGAACAAAAGCCCGCAGGTCTCAGCACGTGAAGGAGGGCAGAGCAGGGCAAGCAGGAGGCCGGGCAGAGTTCCAGGCAGAAGCCACATCCTAGCCTCTTCCATCACTGTTTATTGCCAGCAGCATCCCAGGCACCCTGTGTGTGTCCTGTCCCAGCTCAAGCCTGCCTCTGGGAGTGGGGCTGCTGCAAACACAGGGCTTGCTGTCCACTACTTCAGGCCACTGCATATCCTGCTGGAGCTGGCCCGGGGCCTGAGGCTTGGTCCTGGTCCTGAGAGGCAGTGCAGCCTAGAGGCACTGGCTTCCTTACTGTCCAGCCAACTCAGCCAAATGTGCACCAGGGGGTAGCTGCCTTGTCGCAGTCCAACATGATGTTGAGAACAGTGCAGGGGGCCCCTCCCACAGACAGTGCTGTACGGGAATCCACACGGTACTTCACGGTGCTCAGGCCTCCCTCCCGGTCCACCTTGAATTGCTCCTGGGAAGAGAGGGCAGAGAGAGCATATACTTAGGGCTTTGTGGGTGCCAGCTGTCCGCTGATCCCCCACAACCTCGTCATCAGCGGTCCTGTGATTCCCACTGAAGAGAGGAGGAAATGCTGCTCAGAGATGTGAAGCTTCACCCACGGCTGCCCCCCACTGGTAGGCAGGAGAGCAGGGATTCTTCAGCTGGACTAACTTGGCTTCTGGAGAAGCGGCTGTTTGAGGGATAGGGACTCCTGTGCTGCAGGTCTGCTGCGATTCTGGCACCTTCAGCTGAGGCCCGCCCCCTCTCCAGCCTGCAAGGACTCTGAAGTCTCGGCTGACCCACAGTGCCCAGCGCCCAGCCACCAGAGCAGGGCATCCCAGAGCAGCCACCAAGCAGAATGCCCATCAACTGGCCTGGGCCGAGCAGGGCAGGATGGGGCCATTTGGGGCAGAAGGAGAACTTGTGAACTGTTTGGGCCTGTTGGTTATCCACATCACCACCTGTCCATCCCCAGTCAAGGGACCAGCCAGCACCTGTTTTTGAGCTGCGATGCGCTTCTGGTCCCTCTTCCGCCAGGCTGGGTCATGCAGGTGGTGAAATGTCTTGTACCCAGTTGTGATTCCCGAAGGGCGGAAAAGCTAAGGAGGCCAAAGGTGGTTGGGTCAGGCTGCCCCTCCTGGAGCCCTGGCCCTCACACAAGTCCTCTGGACTCCTACTGCATGCCACAGGCAGGGGCCTGCATTCCCATTCTGCAGAAGTGGTGTGCTAGTCAGGGGGCAGGGCTGGGATTGGAACCAGGGCTGCCATCTCCAAGCCCCAGGAACTTCACCTGAGGACAGAGAAGGAAACCTTGGGGCAGCCACAATGATGGAGGAGGTAGCAGGGCCCTGGGTGGGGTGTTACCTGGAGCCCGGCTCCTTTGATGCGCCGGTAGAACTCGTCGTCCTCGCGGCCCCAGCCCCAGAAGCGGTTGGACATCCCATTGCACTGACACAGAGACAGACAGCGTCACTTGCCCCATCCTCCCAGGGGCGCTCTTTGGTCTCCTACTATTCGGAAGTACCAGCCCGAGCCAGGCTAGGCCAGGCCAGGCCCGGCCCCCTCCCCTGGTGGTTCCGGACACCCAGATGCTTACAGTTCCTACAACCTCTGTGGTACAGGGGGAACAGTCAGCACATCCCAGTCCCTTTGCCTGTTCTAATGGGGCCTTGAACTTGTGTGAGATGATTAGTTTCTCAAAAGCGTCTGACTGGTGGGAGGGGACCTCTCTGGGGAGCTGGTGATGGGCAGAAGTGCCAACTCCTGCTCGATTTCTGCCTGCTTCCATACTGCCATTTCTCCTACGGTGGCTCTGCCCAGGTCTCTGCCTCTGTATGAGAGAGGGACAGTTTGGCTCTACGGCAGACGCCTATTTTTGACACCCAACTTGGAGCTTCATTTACATAAAGCTGGTTTCAGCCACAGCTTGAAGAGAGGAGCAGGAGATGGGGGTCTAAGCCGCTCAGTTCTTCCCACCCCACCCACCCACCTTCACTCCCAGCCACAGTGACTGACTCAGGGATGGGCCCATGACTCAAGTCGGGCCAATCAAGAGCCAGCGCGAAGCAGTTCTGGGGCTCTTATCTGGGCTGTTGGGGAAGGGGGCTCCATCTTCCAGTGGACTTGGGCCTAGATGGATGCAGGCTGCAGCTATAATAACCACCTTGCATCCTGAATGTCTGAAAATAAATCCAGTCTAGAGAAGGCAGAACTGAGAGATGGAAGGTGAAATGGTGCCTTGGTGAACCTGTCTCAGAGGCTGGGCAGGCCGTACCTGCAGCCAGACCCTCCATCCCCAGCCCTACCCAGAGCTTTCCACTTTCCCCAGTCTCTGAAGCCAGCTTGCACGGGGGTTTCTGTCACTGCGGCAGAATCCTCCCTGGCTGACTTGCTCAGCCCTGCTCCTTTCTCATGTCTCTGACTGCTCCTGGGTTCCCCTGCGGGGCTCAGGCAGGACTCCTCCACCCGCAGGGCCCCAGAACTGCTGCTCCTCCTGCCAGCGCCCCCACCCAGGAGGGCGCTCCCTGGTTCTGAGCAGGGCAGGCTGGGCTGGGCCTCACCAACTGGTAGTGCTGCTTGGAGAGCAGCAGGATGCCACCGACGTAGGTCTTGTAGTGGTAGAGCGGGTGGAGCTCTGGGGAGGCCACGTGGAAGGGCCCAGCCTCAGGGAAGCCATAGTCCAGCTCCTCGTTGAGAGGAAGCAGATCCACATCGTGCATGGCGATGTAGTCCGTGCTGTTGCTGCTCTCCAGGAAGCCCACGTTGATGAGTGCTGCCCGGTTGAACCTGTGCAGGGCGGGCAGTGACCTTGCTCTCCCCCAAAGTCTGCATGACAGACTGTCCTCCACAGCACACCCCCAGTGCCTACACCCCCCTCCAGCCCAACCCTGCCTTCACTGTGGGGCTGCCCACTGCACGTCTGCCCCTCCACTCATCTCACAAAGGTTTGCTGAGCACTTCCTGTGTGCCAGACACTGTTGAGAGCTCTGGAGATGCAGCAGTGAGAACTCAAAACTCAGCCCTCAAGGAGCTGACTTTCTAATAAGAGGAGACAAAATCAATAAGCAGGTAGGTAAGAAGCCAGACAGTGGGAGGTGGCGTGGAGAAGAGTAGAGCAGGTGAGGAGAAAGTTTGCTGGGGTGGGGCGGCTGTTCTGTTAGACAGGTGGTTAGGGAGCACCAGGGCCAAAGGGTGACATGTGAGCAGAAACCTGAAGGCATGAGGGAAGGAGCCCAATGGAAATTGGGGGAATGGGGCTCTGAGCAGAAGGGAGAACGACTGCCAAGGCCTGAGGCAGGAGGAGACACCAAGAAGCCAAGCATAGCGCATGGAGGGGCTTAGGGGATGAGGTCAGAGGGTGACAGGCCCCTGACAGACTTGGGCTCTGACCCTGGGCGAGATGGGGAACCTTTGGAGGGCTTAGAGCAGAGGGCTTCCTGCGACTTAGGGTTTAAGAGGATTGCTCTAGTCGGGGTGTTGAGAAAAGATTGGAGGGAGATGGGCTGAGAGGCCATTACAATCATTCAGGCAAGAGATGGTGGTGATTTCGCTCAGGGGAGTGAAGACAGTGAGAAGTGGGCAGATTCTAGACGTATTCTACTGAGGGACTGGATGTGTGTGAGCGGGGGAAGGAGGAACTGAGGATGACCCCAAGGCCTTCTGGCCTGAGCAAGTGGAAGCGTGCGGCTGCCCTGTGCTGAAATGGGGATGGGGACAGGGGAAGCAGGTCTGGGGTGGGTGGGGAATCAGGAATTCAGTTTTTACCAGTTAAGCTTGAGAGGCTTCTGAGACTACCAAATGAATGGTTGCTCAGGCAGCTGGATGTGCAAGTCTGGAGTTCAGGAGAGAGATCTGGACAGGGACACAGACTTGGGAGTCACCAGGAGAAGAGATGGGATTCAATGCCACGAGATGCCCCAGTGAGTGACTGTAGCAAGAACCGGGGATGCCAAGCACTGAGCCGCAAGGAGCACCCAGGTTGAGGGATCAGGGAGATGAGGCAGAACCAAACAGGAGGTGGGAGGGGTGGCCAGTGAGGAAGGAGCAGAACGAGAGAGCTGCCCCAGAGGTCAAATGCAGAGGTTTTAAGAAGGAAGTAACTCACTTGGCAAACGCTGCCGAGAGGTCGACAGGATGAAGGCTGAGAACTGGCCTTTGGATTAACAAGCTGGGCTCACTGGTGATGTCAATGGAGCTGTTTCAGAGTCATGACAGGGTAAACGTCTGAGTGGAAGAGGTTTGAGAGAGCGAAAGGGAAGGAGCTTTGCTACAAAGGGAAGCAGAGAAATGAGGTGACAGCTGCGGGGGATGTGGGATCAAGGGGGTCTTTCTTTTCCTTTTTTCTTTTCAGATGGGAGCTACTTCAGTATGTGTGTAAACTGATGTGAATGCTCCATGAGGGAGGGAAAACTGACCATGCGGGAGAGGAGGGAGCCAACGGCTAGAGTGACGTCCTTGAGTAGGAGAGGGGGACAGGGATCCAGTGCCAGAGTGGAAGTGCTGCCCTGGGAGGAGCTGGGACAGTGCGTTCACGGGGACACATGCACAGAAGCTGGTGGGCCCATCCAGGGGGCAGGGACTTGGGAAGTCCTCTTCCAGTTGGTTCTGTTTTCTAAACAGAAAGCAAAGTCAGCAGCTGAGGGTGAAATGGGGGGAGTGAGGAGAGGAGGTGTGCAAGGCTGCCGCGGGGAGGGGAGGCAGCAGACAGAGGAACGCGAGGCTTCCAGGCAAGGCTTCCTGAGCCAGGGCTCATTGTCAGCAACGCGAGCAGCATCTCTGGCCACTTCCAGCCACCCAGGGGCAGATGTGGAGTAGTCAGAGTTGGGTTTCGTGAGGCGGAAGTTATGCCAGGCAGAAGGGGGCAAGGGAGTTGAGGCGTGTGCGGGAGAGTGATTTTAATGCTGAGCCACGGAATCCAAGTTAGGTAAGGAGAAAGTGAGGACAAGGAAGGTGGGCAGTGAAAACTGGGAAGACCGTGGACTAAAGGGCCTGGTGGGGCCCAAGAATTGCTGGAGTGTGTCTCCCAGTGGAGTGAGTTGGCAGGAAAGGAGGTGGGGGTGAAGTGTGAGAAGCTTGAATTGTGACCACGGAGGGGAGCAGTTTTTGGTAAGGGTAAGGATTTTAGGATAATGCCAGACTGTGAACAACTTTAAAGCCTGGTCTTGAGCCTCCCTTTCCCTATTCCCTACAGCCATCCCACCCTTCTACTGTGCTGGCCGAGACACCATCATCCCAGACGACTATGAAACCACCCAACAGGTCTTCCCGCCCCTTCTCTTGTCCTGATATAAGCTATTCCACATACAGCAGCCACAGAGATCTTTTAAAAATGCATATCAGATCTGGGCCCTCCCCCAAAATTCCCATCACGCCCAGTGAAAGAATGCTCCCTCCCATGCTCCTGCCACTGCGCCAGGTGGCCCACTTGGCATTGGACCACTGCTGAGAAAGGGAGCAGGCCCTAGAGGCCTGGGCAAGGTAAGGCCCCTGGAGAGGGGGTGCTGGGTCAGGAGGCAGTCCCTACCTGAAATGATCCACCTGGTTGAGCACATAGATGTGGTGCTGGATCTTCTTCCTGCTCAGGAAGCGGTGCATGTGGGGCACAAAGACCAGGAGCTCCTCAAAGCGTTCACGGAAGGGCACCAGCACTGCCAGGCGATGGGGACCCCATGATGCATCTTCTTCCCAGTGCTCAGGGGGTGGCTCTGGGGGGCACACCCGGGGTGGGCCTGGGGTCTCCTGCCCTTGTCCCCTGGCTGCCCGGGCCATGTCACCAGAGCAGCTGAGCTGCAGCCAGAGCAGGGAGAGGAAGCCCAGTAGGAGACAGGCAACGAAGAGGTGGAAGACGGAGCATTTCCGGGGGAGGCCACTGGGGAGCAACCTGGACCTAGGACAAGAGCAGAGACAGGTCAGAAGGACAGGGCCGAGCTGGGGCCTTGTGACAGACCCCTTCTCTGGTTTCCCCACAAGTAGGGCACACATGACTTGTCTGCCCCAAGCGCCTGGGAATTAGTGCAGAAGCAACTTTAATGCTTTTGCTGATGCTTCTACTGGGCATCAGAATCCTGCTTACCACCCTAGGTCCAGCTTGTGCCATCCCACCTCCAAGAAGTCCTCTGACCACTCTCGGGTCACAGAGCTGCCGCATTTCCTTGATGCTCTCTTACTTTCTGTGGGTGAGTCCTGGTCAGACCGTGAGCTGCTCGTGGGCAGGGACAAGGCTCCTTGTCTCTTGCACTTGCCGCTCCTCAGGACAGTGGCTCATGTCTTGAGCTGATGGCAGGAGTCCCGCCTTAGAGACCCCACCCACTGCCTTCCATACCTGCTCCCCTGCAAGTTCACCCCCTTGGTTTTGTCCTGCTTCTCACACCAGAAAGCTCCCCAAGACAGAGATGTGTGCTGGCATCAGTCCCCGTGAAAAGACCAATTGTTTACTCTGGAAAGATTGGACCTGCCCCCAAACCAATACAAAGCCAAACTGACAGTGGCAGTTCATTGAACAAGTCTCAAAGCTTCAGTCCAAGAGGCAGCCCATGTGACAAGAGATGAGAGACAGATGAGGGAAAGAAAGATGAGGGGCTGCATACAGCACCCAGGCTCATTTCAGAAATGAAAAACAGCTGAGTATCTTAGACACTGGGGTAGTGTGGCTGCGAGAGACGGCCCTTTCGGTTAGAAAGTACTAAGAAGCAGGCGGAATTTGCCTGATTCCTTTGTCCCTCTCTCTGGAAGTTTCTGAGGAGGAGCTGAGGAATCCAAGACAAGGGAAGCTTCCTCTATACTACTCCCCCTGAAACAATCTGCAACCTCCTTTCCAACCTTTACGAGTCACCAAGTCACTACCAGGTCTTACAGACTCTACCTCCTAAGTGTCCCTTTGCTCCTTCCTCACCCAGTGCCTCTCTTTTAGCTCAAGTCTCATCTGGTCCTTGCCCTTCCACCTCACAGATGATCCTCCCCTGTTTACAAGATAATAGCAGAACCCTTGGCCCGAGAGTCAAACCCCTCTGTGACCTGGCCCCAGCTGCAGTTACCCCTTGCCACTCGCCCAGTGGTATCATACTGGTTAACTCAGAGCTTCTCCACTCACCATACTCCTTCCTGCTTCTGCCCTCACACAGCCTGCTTCTTCCGCCTGAAATGCCCTCCTTATTTTCTCTGCCTGGAAGCCCCCCAGCTGATCCTTCAGGACCAAACTCCAATGGCATGGCCAGCACCATGTGACCCCTGCCCCCATGTGCACACAAACTGAGATACACGCTCCTTCCTTTGTGTTCCCATGGCATCTGGTACTTCCCTCTTTGAAGCCCTTACCCACAGGCAATCAGATTCCTATCTGTGGCCCCAGCACTCGTCAGACAGCAGAAGGCTTGCTAAGTGAGTTACAGGAAGTGTTCAAGCAGTTAGGGCATGCTTTAAGTCACAAACTAGAGCCAGGCCAACTCCTGCCTTTCTCTAGAGGCACAACTGCCAACCTGGAAGCCAGCATCCCTGAAGCCAGGCCAGGTCCCCCATGCAGCAGAGAGGTGGTCCGGTAGGACATCCTTGCAGGGCTCCTAACTTACCCCCTGTTGTCCTGTGGTGGGGGTTTGCGCTGGGGAGCAGCGGAGCCCAATCCTGCAAGTGGCCTGGGAAGGCTGGAACCTCTACAGATTCTTTCTCGCCCTCCTGGCTCTTTCTGGGGGAGAGGTGGAGACCGGGGAGATGGACACAGGGAAATATCCCACCTTCGGGGGAAGAAGCAGTGACTATTATCCAGGGGTACGGCAGTGATTGGGCATTCCATGCACTTTCACATGCTGTTCCTTCGGTCCAGCCTCCTCTTCCCACCACGATCACGTTCCCATGGGCAATCTGATCCTGCCTCTAAGGGCCCAAACCGCTGAGCAACCGAATTCAGAGCTGAGTCCCAATTCCCCAGGACAGTGGACACTGAGAACTGTTGTTCCTGGTGCCACCTGGTGGCCAACTCCAGATGTGCAGACCTAGCTGCTCCCAGGCCCAGGCCACCCTGCTCTGATGGGTAGATTGTCTCCATCAATCTATAGGCCCAAGGCTAGTAAGAGGCAGATTCAAACCCAGGTATGCTGGCTCTAGAGCTAGCACTCTAATTGCTCCATTAGCCTGCATCTGTTGCATGGATCTTTGTACCCATGTGTGAAAAGTACGAACTGACATCAATACATTTTTCTGGGAACAAGGTTATGTTCCAAAGGCTTATGGAAATGGATCAGGAAATGGAAATTCTCCTCCGTTACCCTTCATTTCTTCCCTCACACAAACCTTAGTGACACAAGGTTTGAATCATCAGCTGCTCTGATTACAGAATCTCCAAACTGCAAAGGTAACTGGAAGACAACTAGTCCCTCCTCTGTGTCAGGCACAGCGTCAAGAGTTTTACATGTGTCATCCTCAGTCCTCATACAGCCCTGCAGGGTGGATGTTATGATCCCTGTTTCAGAGATGGAAAGGCTGAGGTCAGAAGGATTAAGTGATCTGTTTCTGGTCACATGGCTATTAAAGAGGATTGCTGTCCATGCCTGATTCCACAGTCCAGGCTTTCTTTCTATTGTATTCCTTTCTTCTTATTTCAACACCAAGTCTGAAAAATCCCTAATGGCAAAGACTCGTGCCCGTTCTATCCCGGAATCTTTTGGCACCTGGCAAACTTAAGAGAAATAAAGGGAATGAGGTATCATTCACTGGGTGGAGTCCCACTATCATGTGTTCTGGGTGAGAAGAGTTTTGGGGGCACATCTCAAGACTGAAGTGTGGGTGTCTTCCCAAATTTAAGTGGCCAAATAGCCTCCCACCCACCCCATTCCCCTTCTACTTTAATAGGAAACATCATTAGCTAAGGTCTGAGTCCAGCTCACACCTAATGACATGGGGCAGGCCCCATCCAAGTAGAGCTGCACAGGAAATGAACTAACGTTCTGTGTGAGGAATGCCTAGTAAGCGCCAGGCAGAGCATACAGAGCTTCTGTCTGCTGTGTTCTTCTGGGTGGTCAGCAAATGACGGGGAAGCATGAAGACGGGCGGGTAAAGTCTGAGGCTACATGGATGCAATGGGGGAGGCAGAGACCAGAGAAACGGAATAAACACCCTCAGAGACTAGGGAGAGACATAAAGACACAGATCCACTGAGAGAGGTCAACGGAGTCAGAGAACCGCACGAAGACAGACAGAGGCCAGTGGAGAAACACAGAGAGAACCATAATGAGAGAAAGACTTGTAAAGACAGAAACAGAAATTCAAAAAGGGGAATCAACGGAGAAATACAGAACCCCGGAGTGACGGAGACGGGTAGAGACAGAGACCCACACAGAGAGAGACATAGACCCTCAGAGAGCCCGCAGACACGGAGAGGACGGCCTCGGGCTCCTACATTCCGCGGGCCGGCCCAGAAAGGACTGGCACCCGGGAGGACGGGGCCCGGACCGGCCGCCGCCGCTCACCTGCCGTCCTCCCAGGGCAGCTGCGCCGCTTTCCTCCGGGAGGGGAACATCGTTGGGGGAGGCGGCGGCGCATGGAGCTCGAGCTCCCAGCCGGGCCGGGCCGGCCTCCCGGGCCTACGCGGCGCCTCCGCCTCCTGCCCCGCCCAGGCCGCTCCGCCCCGCCCTTCGGTCCGCTGGGTCCACCGCTCCGGCCGCACCGTCTGCTCCCCGAAGCTGCCGCGTCAAAGGTTCCGCGCGCGAGGAACACGTGAACGCTCCAACCGCCCGAGTGACTGCTAGCTGCCCTCTACACTCCGAGAAACTGAGGCCCCTCAGGGAGCTCTAGTCACTGGGCTCGGACTGCATTGAGACTCTGGGCTTCCAAACGAGCGCCCTGGGACAATGTGCGTCTTCCTCCTCGTCCCAAGGGAAGGCGGGGAGCATCTGGGCATCCCTGCTGCCAACCCAGGTGCATTCTTCCTCCGCAACAAGCTTGGAGGGGGCAAGGCCAAGCTCAGGGCTGTCTTGGGTTCAGCCGATACCCCAAGTAGTAGTTAGGAGTCAGGCACTAAAGACTTATTGACTGGATGAGAAACCTGACTCTGCCAATTCAGCTGCTTTAGGTCAAGGCACAATCTCTTTGCGTCTGTTTCCTCATCTGAGGGTATAAATGGTGCCTGATGTACATGGTTGCTGTGAGGATTAAAGGAGAAAATGCAAATACTTGGTACAGTGATGGGTGCAATAGTCAACTCTATATAAATGATAGTGATCATCCAGGAGAGGGCTACTTTGTGGAGCTGAGGTGAGAACTGAAGAAGGGAATAAGGAGATTGAGTTCCCATGTCTGCGCTGTCACCGTGCGAACTTAGCCCCAGCTGGGCCAGCCTCCCACCTGTGAAGAGAGCGGCAGAGTTATTAGAATTGATTTCCTCTGCTCTTCCAGGCAAAATTTAAGTTTCTTAATAAATAGCTAACATCTATTAAGTTCTTACTACGTGCCAGTCATTGTTCTAAATTCTTTACTACTGTCATCTCATTTATGAGTATTGTACGTATTATGCCCACTTTAAAGATGAGGGAACTGAAGCAGAGAGAGGTGATTCAGGACGTGAGCCGAGACAGTGTGGCTGCACTATCTGTGGTCTCAACCACTCTGCTTCTGAGAGGACTTCCTTCTGAGTGGGAAATTAACCATTCCCAGCAGCCCCCATTCTCCCTTAAACCCAGCATACAACCCCCCTTCCTGCTGAACTCTCCCAGGGCACAGCACTGTACACCACAACCTTGGCAAATCCAACCTCGGCCTGACTGACGCCCTGCAGAGACCAACTCGGTAAGGCCAAGGATAGAAGCAGGGAGAGGGGACTGTGACCTGGAGAGCACAAGCCCATCTAAAGGAGACAGCTACCATTCAGTCCAGCTAAGTGTTGTAGTCAGGATGGAGCCCCCCTAATGTCAGATCTGATTTATCTCAAGAAATCAGATTTCACATAAAAATCCAAATAACTAACTTTAAACTGTGACATCCACAGTCATGTTGGTAATAACTACCCCTAATATGATGGGATGAGAAAGGCACTTTACTTCTGCAGTCTTCCTTTCAAAAACCCAGAACTTATCTAATCATGAGAAAAAAAGCAGACAACTTCCAAATGAGGGAAATTCTACAAAATACTTGACCAGTACTCCTGAAAACTGTTAAGGTAATAAAAAACAGTGGAAAGTCTGAGAAAATGTCACAGCCAAGAGGAGCCCAAGGAAACAAGACAATTAAATGTAACATGGTATCACAGATGGGATCCTGGAACAGAAAAAGGACATCAGGTAACAACTAAGGAAATCTGCATAAAGTATGGTCTTCAGTTAAAAATAATGTATCACTATTGATCCATTTAATTTTAATAAACATACCATACTAATGTGCGACATTAATAGGGGAAACTATCTTCACAATTTTCCTGTAATTCTAAAGCTGTTCTAAAAGGTTTCTCTAGGGGCCAGCCCAGTGGCGCAGTGGTTAAGTTCGCGCACTCTGCTTCTTGGTGGCCCGGGGTTCACTGGTTCGGATCCCGGGTGCAGACATGGCACCGCTTGGCATGCCATGCTGTGGTAGGTGTCCCACGTATAGAGGAGGATGGGCACAGATGTTAGCTTAGGGCCAGTCTTCCTCATCAAAAAGAGGAGGATTGGCAGTAGTTAGCTCAGGGCTAATCTTCCTCAAAAAAACAAAAAATTTTTTCTAAATGTGGACACCTAGGTGGCGATATGAGTGCAGATTACATCCTCCTAGCAGTTCAAGTAGCCTCCAGACTTGTCTCCTCACCCCCAATCTCCTTCTCACACACTGCTGGATAAACCTTCCATCAAATTTTACATTCGGGGTCTTCTCAAATTTGAACAGTGGATAATGTCCAAATCTCTTACCTGGAGCTCAAGGCTCTTCTAACTCTAACCAACCTTCCTTTCCAGCTTTCTCACCCTGACCCCCACCCCCCTACAACACACACACCTCCAGCTGCAACCATGCCCATCCAGCTGCATAGCAACGGTTTGCCTCTGCTTCCCCCAACCACTCCCACCCTGCCTTCTTTCCTCAGAATCCTTCCTCTCCTTCAAGGGCCTTGCTGAAAACCCGTGCTATTGGTTATGTTCATCAGTATCCTCATCCCCACCAGCCCAGGGATTTGTCCTTCCCACACCTGCAGCATTCCTCTGATGAATGCACACTACCTCCCCTAACGAGGCACTTCCTTGCAGCACCATGACAATTCGGTCCACCTATTCTGGACAAGCAGGACAGCACTTCATAAGGGAGCTGGTGCAGAGGAAATGTGGATTTGAGGTACCCAACATACTTGTTGGATTGTCTTGGCAAAACATACCTTCATACCTGCCGCAGGAAGGTATGGAGAGGATGGAAAGAATGAGGTTCACAGGTGGGTCTTCATCTTGGAATGTGAAATGCTTTGCCCACTGGGAGAACGGACATTCCCTGAAGCACCTTGCAGTGTTATGCTCACTGATAGTAGAGTAACTTTACACTGGACAAGAAGTCAATTTTTTTTATTGGGAAACCAATGTAACAAACCTAGACTTATCGAAAATGAAATCAGTAACTAAGACTCTGCAGGCCCCGTCCCCAACCAGCACCAAGGCCTCTGCTTGGCCTGACCCCAGTTCCTTGAGCCCCAAAAAGGACAACCATGTGAAGAACCCAGGGTCAACCTCAGGGGCACTCTCCCACACTGCAACCCCCTCCACCCCAACCTCAAGTGACACACACACCCTGGATCAGCAGGCTGGGTCTAGACCCAAGGGGGGAACAGTGAGGTTCCCAGGGTGGCAGGGAATCACAGCTGCACCTCAACATGCCCCCAATCCCCAGGTAGCAAAGGAAGACAGAAGGAAGACTGGCTTGCCCACCCGCTCCCCTCCCCACAGCCACCCAGATGACAGCCTCACGTCCCTGATCAGTAACACTGTGATTCTGAGGTGCCAATGGGGTTCCCAGTGGCTTCACCAGCCCCTGGGTGATTACTGCAAAAAGCTAGAGCCCAGGGGAGAGGGCAGGCATTTGCCCCACCACCTGCTCAGTAATAGCCAGCCAAGCTGCTGCCCTCAGCTTGTGCCTGGAGTGCCTGTGGCCCCTCTCCCCTCCAGAACATCCACGGCTGGGAACCAGCCCTCCTGCCAAAGAGAAATCAGTTCCACGAGGCCCTTTCTCCCCCAGCCTGAGAGGAAGGATGGCCTGTGAGGTCTGGGATGGCTACACGAGTTTCTTGGCTTCAAAGAAGCTCTTGAGGTGTCGCATCTGCCAGACGCCGATGGCTACGAGGATGAGGGTCTGCAGAATGGACCACCATAGCACTCGCTGGTTGGTGCTCTCGCTGGTCTGCCGGAAGCGCTCCTCTCGCCACTGTGGGAGAGGAGAAAGGAAGAGGAGCCTGAGTTGGCTGGGCCCCACCTGGGGCTGTTAGAACTGCTGGGTTCCCTCCCCGGAGGATGCCTCAGGGCCAACCGGCTTTGCCCAGGTTCCGCCTGCAAAGAGCCACCCCACCTGGGGACTGTATCATCCTCACCAGCTAGATGACCTCAGGCAACCTGCTCATTTCTCCTAAGTCTGTTTGCTCACCTGTCAGACACAGCCCTCACTGGGTCCTACCCTGGAGCCTAGGGGAGAGGTAAAGTAGTTGTAGTATCATGCCACCTGCTAGAACTGTCCTGAAGCACTCGGGAGTGGACTTGCTCTGAGCCCACTGCCCAGGTATCCCAAATTGCTCCTTGAAGACTGTAGGCACAGGTTGCAAATTGGTGGGCCACGGGATGGATCTGGCCCAT